TGCGATCTTTTCATAGGGTTTGATATGTCTAATAACAAGGTATATATTGATCAGTAACAATTATTTGTATAATCTCCCGATCACTATATCAAGATCACGGGAGGATTAATTAATAATACCCTGACCGTATGTGAATAATCGGAAACTTCGTTTCCGCTAATTCCCAACGGATCAGGATATTATTATTACTTATCCTCCAATCTTCCAATATATGGGGGGTATTATTCAATCTAGGCCGGCTTTCTTGAAAAATACCCGGGATACTATATGCAGCGCTGTACGGTACATACGTATGCCGAATTCATGATCTTAGTTTTGTTATCGAATTAATGAATAAGTTTAAAAGTTTCATGTAATATAAATACATGCCAGATTTTATAAATAATCGACAGAATTAAAAAAATTCCTTAAGCAATGTTTAAATTTATTCGTCAAGTTTAAAATTAGTTTAATGCAGGCCAATATTGATCAATCGAGGCGAATGATCGACAAAACGCATCAGAATTGATGAAAAATGAGCGCAATGCATTTATTTATCTTGGAGTTTGTTATTACAAAAAGGATCGGAATTTACATGAGGCAGCAATTCTTGTAAATTGTATGACTTATTATTCTGCTATCTCCACAAATATACAAATAGAAAACGTTAAAATTAAAATTTCGCAGCTAGATTAGGGTTAGGTTAGGGTTAGGTTTGGCTATTAAGTTAAACGAACTTTTTAATACTAGAATTTCGCTAGAAAACTTTTTGTTAATGCGCGAAGGTGGTTTTGTAGGTAAAATGTTGATTTATGCTCGATTTTTTGTATTTCTTAAATTCTGATTGGGTTTGTAACACTAGAACAGTTCGAAGTAAAACAAAACCTATGTGCACTTCTAGATACAAAAATAAAGCAATTGTATTTACTTAAATGCGTAAAAAATAAACTTTATTGATAATTCTCGACAAAGTTATCTAAAAATGATTGCTATAACATCAAAAAAAAACAATCAATGCTTTTTAATTAATATGACTGAAATCGGGTTGTTCGCATAGAGATTTTTCCAATTTTTTTGACTTTTCCATCTTCGAATTCAAGATTATCGACAATAACATCAAAGTTTAAATAGTTATCATCGTCCTTCTTATGATATTCATAACATCGTTCCATCATCTCTAAAAGATTTTCATCAGGTACATAGAACAATCTTTCACCGCTTCATCCTTGAAACCAATATTTCTGACAAATAAACCAATAGCGTTTTTCGATTTTGCCATATGAATGATAAAACGTTCAATTTCTTCTTGACCAATCTGA